GCACACCTGTAATCCCTGCTACTGGGGAAGCTGAGGCAGGAGAATTGCTTGAACCCTGGAGGAGAACGTTGCAGTGAGCTGAGATCATGCCACTGCACTCCAGCCTGGGTGAGAGCAAGACTCTGTCTCAAACGAGCAAACAAAAATTTTAGAGACAGGGTCTTGCTCTGTTCCCTGGGCTGGAATGCAGTGGCGTGACCATAGCTCACTGCAGCCTCGAACTCCTGGGCTCAAGCAATCCTCCTGCCTCATTCTCTTAAGTAGCTGGGACTACAGGTGTGTGTCACCACCACCACATCCAGCTAATGTTTTTATTTTTTGTAGGGATAGAGTCTCACCATGTTGCCCAGGCTGCTCTTAAACTCCTGGGCTCAAGGGATCCTTCCATCTCAACCTCCCGAAGCACTGGGATTACAGGCATGAGCCACGATGCCAAGCCTCTGCGGGCTTTTGAAACCTAATTTCAGAAGTGACATACATTCACTTCTGCCATATGCTGTTTGTCACACAGACCAACTCTGGTACAATGTGGTACCCTAGGGTGTGAATACCAGGAGGTAGGGATCATTAGCAGCCAGTTTAGAGTCTGGATACCACAGGGAGAGAGCACTACAAGTTGTGGTCCAGATGCTCAAGGTCAAATATTATGGATTTCCTAAGAGAATTCCCACAGAGGAAGCTGGGATTTGGGTTTACCCTGGGGGATGGCACAGGCAAGAATGTGGCTTGAATCAAGGAGGAGGTAACATTTGGCTTGGGTCTAAATGGACACAAAGGAGGTATTGGGGGGTGAGCTGAGTGGGGAACTTGTGGGCATTAGTCCCAGCTCCTGTGAGCTCACAGTGGTTCCCTGGGAGTCATTTTACAGACCACAGAAGGCCTGTCAGGGCTGGGGGAGGGGAATCCACCCTCCTGGCTGACCCACCAGGAAGACTCCCACTTTTCCCTTCCCTGCCTCCCTCATTCCCACCTTCCAACATTCTTCCCTTTATCGTTCTTTCCTTTCTCTCTCTTTCCCTTCTCCCCTCCCTCCCTCTGCACAGGTAAAGTCTCTGGCTGAATCCATCGATGAAGCCCTGAACTGCCACCCGTCGGGACCCATGTCTGAGGAGCCAGGGTCAGCCCAGCTGGAGAAGCGGGAGTCAAAGGAACAGCAAGAGGACAGCTCAGCCACATCTTTCAGTGACCTTCCCCTCTACCTGGATGACACAGTTACCCAACAATCCCCTGAGCGACTGCCCAGCACAGAACCCCCACCCCAGGGCCGGCCCGAGTTCTGGGCACCAGCCCCTCTCCCGCCAGTTCCTCCACCAGTGCCATCAGGAACCCGGGAAGATGGTAGCCGAGAGGAAGGCACTCGCAGGGGCCCCGGGTGCTTGGAGTGCCGGGATTTCCGGCTGCGGGCCGCCCACCTTCCCCTGCTTACTATTGAGCCTCCTAGTGACAGCTCCGTGGACCTGAGTGACCGCTCAGATCGCGGCTCTGTCCACCGCCAGCTGGTGTATGAGGCTGATGGCTGCAGCCCCCATGGGACCCTGAAGCACAAGGGGCCACCAGGCAGGGCCCCGATCCCACACCGCCACTACCCAGCCCCTGAGGGCCCAGCCCCAGCCCCACCAGGGCCCCTGCCCCCAGCCCCCAACAGTGGCACTGGGCCCAGTGGTGTGGCTGGGGGTCGGAGGTTGGGGAAGTGCGAGGCAGCAGGCGAGAACTCTGATGGTGGCGATAATGAGAGCCTCGAGAGCTCCAGCAATTCCAATGAGACCATCAACTGCAGCTCCGGCTCCTCTTCTCGGGACAGCCTGAGGGAGCCTCCGGCCACCGGCCTGTGCAAGCAGACTTACCAGCGGGAGACGAGGCACAGCTGGGACTCGCCAGCCTTCAACAATGACGTGGTCCAGAGGCGGCACTACCGAATCGGCCTCAACCTCTTCAACAAGTATGTGCTCCCTGTTCTAGCCTGCTCGCCCCTTCCTACTGTGCCATGGGCACTTGGATCCCTGGGACAGAACTCCACGCAGTGATCCCAGTTCTGCCATCCTCTCATTTTGTGGAATCGTATTTCTCCCCAGAGTTCAGGGAAGAGGATTGGCAACAGGGTTGCAGAGTAGAGAGCCCTTTAACACATCTGGGCTTGGGTCCTGGTACTGCCTCTGGCTGGCTGTGTGATCTTGGGTGAGATGACCCCACTAAATGGAATCTGAACCTTGTCCTCCCCGCTTTCCCTTTTTAGAGGGGAGGTGATATGGTGTAGAAAGAGCCCTAGTCTGGGAAACAGGAGACCTGGCTCCCCAGTCTGCCTCTGGCCAGACTCACTGCACAGCCCTGGGCAAGGAGTGTTACTCACCTGCCCTTCCGTTTTTCCATCTACCGACTAGCAGAGTGTGTATGTGAGAGGTGTTGGGGGCAGGGTAGTGTGCTGGACCCTTTAGTGACTGTGACTAAGCTCTTTCTAGGTGCCTGGTCTTCTGCCAGGTGCTTAGGAGTGAGGTGGGAGTGTGACATTTGATTAGAAAATAATTGGAAAACATTAGATGTAATTAGAAAACATTAGATGTAATATAAGCCATTACTCGAATGCCTTACATCTTTATAGCTTATTAAACACTGCCACCTATATTTAGTTCTTACAATAGCTCACGAGGCAAGCAGTAGTGTCCCTGTTTTGTAGATATGGAACCAAGGCTTGGAGAAGTAAAAGGAATTGTCCAAAATCATACAAGTGGGAAGTGATGGATCTGAGACGCCTGTGGCACCGGTCTCTTCCAAATTTTAGCCTCGTGGGGTCCTAAGGTTCTGGGCTTCTGAATATGGGATAGCTTTGGCCCAGATTTTGACCCAGCTCTCTGGAAATCTACGGGGCTCCTTGTCTATAGAAACACTCAGAGAAAGTTGTTGATACCTGCCTGAGTGGGATGTGGGATGTGGAACAAAGTAACCTCTTCACTTCCTCCCTACTCTGAGGGTCTGTGACTCAGAGGGAAGGCACTCAGCCCCGCTCCTCTGTTCTTGCTGGAAATATCAAAGCTCTTGGCATAGAGCAGGCTCTCATTAGATTCTGATTCTCTTTCAATTGTGGTGTGGCTCCAGTGAAGGGGGATGTTGGGTTGAAGATACCTTGGGATTTTGAAGCTCCTTGAAATGGGCAAGTGGCTTCTTCTCCCTGGGCCTCAGTTTTCCCATTTGTGCCATGATGGGATTAGATCAAATGATGTATTTGACTTCGTTGGTCCTCTGAGGCCGGAGTTAGTTGGGCCCGAAATTAGTTCAACAAATGAGACAGAGAGCACAGTTCCAGGAGGACAGTCATCTCATCGACCTCCCCTCTTTCTACAGGAAGCCAGAGAAGGGTATCCAGTATCTGATCGAGCGGGGCTTCCTGTCAGACACACCGGTGGGAGTGGCTCACTTCATCCTGGAGCGGAAAGGCCTCAGCCGGCAGATGATAGGGGAATTCCTAGGGAACCGGCAGAAGCAGTTCAACAGAGACGTGTTGGAGTGAGGACCCCAGGATGGGGCAGGCTGGGCCAGGGATTCCTGGAAAAGGACAGCAAGAGGGAGGAAGGGGGCAGCCTGTCCCTTTGGCACAGATAAGCTTTTCAAAACAGGATGAATAGACCTTCCTGCTCCCGTACCCTGTCTGCCCCAAAGGGGTCTGATCTTGCTCGGCCCTATTCCTAAAGTCTTCTGGGTGACCCTGGGCAAGACATGCTCATCCTGTGGCCTATTTTGGGTCTCAGTTTTCCTATCTCTGAAATGAGTGGCTTGATGGAAAGGACCTTTAGTGACCACGTGCCTTGCCTCAATTTTCTGAGATGGATTCAATTTCAAACATTCCGTCTTCATGTGTACTTGCTTGGGCCACAGGTCCTGAATTTGGGAGTCTATCAATGGGGGTGTTGGTCCATTTGAGCAGATCCAGGTGGGTCAGAGGTTTTCTGCAGAGGAACTGAAAGCACCACACCCCCTTCTCTGCTCTTTAGCTGTGTGGTGGATGAGATGGACTTCTCCTCCATGGATCTGGATGATGCACTCCGGAAGTTCCAGTCCCATATTCGGGTTCAGGGTGAGGCCCAGAAAGTGGAGCGACTCATCGAAGCCTTCAGGTGTGCCTGCCTCCCACTCGCAAAGCTGCCCCTCCCTCCTGTGGGCATCGATATACTATTTACAAGTCACTTCTCTGAGCCTCATACTTTCTTCACCATAAAACAGAAATGATAAACCCTATCTTGCAAGGCAATTGTGAGGATCAGAGGTAGTGCATGTAAGGTATCTAGCTCAGCCCCGGGACAGGGGCATTCGATAAGTGACAACAACATCAGCAATAGCAGCTAACATTCATGGAGTGCTTACTAGGTATCAGGTACTCCGAGCTGAGCGCTTTACGTGATTATTTCACCGAATAGTCACAACCACCTCATAAGGTAGGCGCTTCTATTGTTATTCCCATTTTACAGATGAAAAATCAGGAATTTAGAGAGGTTAAGTAACTTTCCCAGAGTCATACAGGATTTGAACTTGTATGCGTCTGAGTCCATGGTCCATCCATGTCCTTAACCATTTTACTCTGCTATAAAGGCTTTGGAGATCAGGATTTAGACCGGGGTCTAAATCCTGGCTCCGCCACTTTAGGGTATTTAGAAGAGAAACAGGAGTTGCTGAGAACTTGTTTTTCATAATGGGAGAAGGATTTGCTTTGCATTCAGAAATATCCGGGTTTTCATCCCGGCTTCACCATTTACTGGCTCTATTACCTTGGGCAAGTTACCTTACCACTTTGAGCCTCAGTCACCTTATCTGTAAAATGGGACTGCCAGTAACTTCCTTTCAGGATTATGATAGGATTACGTGAAACAATGTACATAAACCCCCTGGAAGAGCTCTGCAAAAGGTAGCGATTGTGATTTTTACATGCTGGTCTAGGGGACGCTCTGAAGAGGACAGACCCAGAGATCAAGGAAGTATTCCTTCCAGGAAAGGATTGGTGGTGCCAGACTGGGTGGATGGTGGGTAGGCAGAGATGGCTGGTTCCTGAATCTGGCTTTGACCCCTCCTGCCCTACAGCCAGCGGTACTGTGTCTGTAACCCAGCCCTCGTGCGCCAATTCCGGAACCCAGACACCATTTTCATCCTTGCTTTTGCCATCATCCTCCTCAATACCGACATGTACAGTCCCAGCGTCAAGGCTGAACGAAAGATGAAACTAGATGACTTCATCAAGAACCTGAGAGGTGACTTCCCTATCAGCTTTTCCTGCCCTTCACCTGGGAAGGGAAACTGGGGGGTAAGGTGGGGAAGGATGCAGGATATCCCATCTGTTCCTTGGAACTTAATTTGTGATGCTGTCACTTTCTGCCCTGGCTGGATGTTCCTAGGACATTCACTTATTAATTCTCTCAACTCGTCATTTGCCCACTGTACTGAGTATTTACTGCGCTTCCACTGTGTACCAGGTTTCTAGGTCCTGGGGTTCAAGCAATGAACATGATAAAGTCCTGACTCTTACAAAGCTTACTCTGATTCATTCATTCAGTCATTCACTTGTCCTTTCCTCGCTCCCTCTTTCCGTCTCTTATTTATACCCCCCGAGGACTCATTTAATTATTTTAGGTAACTTTTCCTCTATTCATGCATTCATTTATCACTCAACCAAACAACCAGCCAGTCAGTCAACACTTAGCACTTAGTGTGTGCCAAGCCCCCTGATGGGTGCCAAGGACAATGGAGGGGGGTCTGCCATAGTCCCTGTTCTGAGAGAGCTCTCCGTGTCGGGGAGAGGCTGACTTGTGGTACCCAGATAACTAACATAAGACAGAAAGTTAACAGTGACATCAGAGAGGCTGAAAGTACAGTCAGAGCTCAACGGAGGGAGAGCCCACCTCTACCTAGCTTCCCAGAGGAGGCAGCATTTGTATTTTAAGGTGGGTCTTGAAGACATGGAGAAGGTGACACAATGGAGATAGAGAGCTTACTTAGCAGTGAGAATACCACAGGCGCAGAGGCAGGAACATTTATTTTCTTTAGGGAACAATTGAGGGCTGGGTGCTCATGCCTGTAATCCCAGCACTTTGTGAGGCCAAGGCAGGTGGATCACATGAGGCCAGGAGTTCCAGACCAGCCTGGCCAACATGGGGAAACCCTATCTCTATAAAAATACAAAAATTAGCAGGCATGGTGGTGCCTGCCTGTAATTCCAGCTACTCAGGAGGCTGAGGCAGGAGAATCACTTGAACCCGGGAGGCGGAGGTTGCAGTGAGCCAAGATTGCGCCACTGCACTCCAGCCTGGGTGACAGAGCGAGACTCTGTCTTAAAAAAAGAAGAAGAAGAAGAAAAACAATTGGAATCAGGTCACTGATGGGTTGGGAAGGTCCACTGGAACCAATATATGAGGGACTTGAATGCCAGATGAAAAGTGTCGCCTTGCTCTTTTTGCTTATTCTACTGATGTCAAGCCCTGCCTATCACCAAAGAGCAGCCTACTAAAAATGGTACAGATGTTAAGATTATTTAAACAGAAAAGAAAGAGGAAAATAGAGGCAAAGAAAAAAAAGCAAACCGAAAACAAGACAAATTGGCTGCCCGTCGGGGTTTTCGCAGCTGAGGCTGCTATGGTAAGAAAGTCAGTGCGACGTAGGACGTTCCTTTAGCACCTGTCCAAGGAGGAGATGTCTCATTTCCAAGGGGGGAAACATTTTCTCTTTTTTTTTTTTTCCTGTTTTTCTTGTTTTTTATTTTTAGAGACAGGGTCTCACTCTGTCACCCAGGCTGGAGTGCGGTGATGCGATCACAGCTCACTGCAGCCTTGAACTCCTGGGCTCAAGTGATCCTCCCACCTCAGCCTCCTGAGTAGCGAGGACTAGAGGCATGTGCCACCATGCCCAGCTCATTTTAAAATTTTTTTGTAGAGACAGGGTCTTCTTGTGTTGCCCAGGCTGGTCTCAAACTCGTTGCCTCAACTCGGCCTCTGAAAGTGCTGGGATTACAGGTGTGAGACTCCACAACCTGCAAAGAAAACATTTTCTCTAGCAGAGTATTTAGAGAGAAGGGTGAGTGGGTTTCACTTAGCAATCGGAAGTGGAGAAGGATGGTGAGCATGGGAGGACGGAGTTAGATCAGAGGCCATTTGGAGCTGTCTACTAGAATCCTGCCATCATTCATTCATCCATTCTTTTTCCTTCTCTCTCTCAACATATGTGTGTGTGTATCTTTCTCCCCTCTAATTATTAAATTAATAAATAAATAAATGAAGGTAACACATAATTATTTCAGAAATTTTGGAAGATTCTGAAAATTAGAAAATTTCTCTTTATCACCCAAAATTCGTCCCCTAGAGGCAATCATAGTTAATGTTTTGGTGCATTCTAATCTTTTCCCCCATGCATACATAACATTTTATATAGTTCAGATCATACCATACATGCAATTCATCTTACTCATTCCACATCACTTGCTACTGTAATTTTCTCATGCTATTGAAATGTTTTTGTAAATGTCAAGTTTTTAATAGCTGTGCATTATTTTATTAAATGGATATACTATACTTACCTGTTCTTCTATTTTTAAAATTTAGGTTGTTTCAAATTGTTCCCATAAGTAACAGTATTTTTTTTTTTTTTTTTGAGACAGGGACTTGCTCTGCTTTTTTTTTTTTTGAGACAGAGTCTTGCTCTGTTGTTGTTACTGGAGTGCAGTGGTGCAGTCATGGTTTGCTGCAACCTCCGCCTCCTGGGCTCAAGTGATCCACCCACTTCAGTCTCCCAAGTAGATGGGACCACAGGTGTGCGCCACCACACCCAGCTGATTTTTGCATTTTCTGTAGAGACGGGATTTTGCCATGTTGCCCAGGTTGGTCTTGAACTCCTGGGCTCAAGCGATCCACCTGGCTCGACCTCCCAAAGTGCTGGGATTACACCACGCCTGCCCTACATTCTTGTAGTACATACATCTTGCACATATTTCTGAGTAGTTCCTTAGGGTAGATTCCTAGAAGAGGAATCACTGGGTACTAACATTTAGGTTCTTGCCAAATTACCTTCCAAAAGAGTTACGTTACCATACATGCCCACTTCCCTGCACTCTTACTAGCACTGGATTTCATTTAAAATTATTTTTGCTTATTAGGAAGGCAAACAATAGTAACTGATTATTTTAATTTCAGTGTATTCTGAGTTGTTGAAAAGAATTCACCCCGGGGAAGACAGCAACTGGCTCTTGCATTGAAGGACACCCTCCATGCCCCAATCCTGGCTGAGGGGCTAAGGGCACCCACTGACCCTCAGTCCTATCATGGCCTGTGCCTGTGTGTAGAGATTGTGGAGCACCCCTACCATGCAGTGCCCATAACTGTGTGACATATCTCTGTGTTACTCCCTCCCCCAGGGGTTGACAATGGTGAAGACATCCCCAGAGACCTTCTGGTGGGCATATACCAGCGCATCCAGGGGCGTGAACTGCGGACCAATGATGACCACGTGTCCCAGGTGCAGGCTGTGGAGCGCATGATTGTTGGAAAGAAACCGGTGAGTGCCTTGGGAGGCTGCAGAGGGGCCAGGGTTCAGGTCTGCCTCTGCCACTGAGTGGTAAGTCACTGCACCTCCCTGAGCCCCTTATCTGCAATACGGAGTGGGTGATAATGCATTCCTCAGAAGGTTGTGTTGCAGATTGAGACACTCTGTGTGAAGGCATCTAGCACATTCCAAGGCCCATAGTGGGTACTATATAAATATTAGCATCCTTTTCACCTCGGGCTTTGCCTGTCCATCCCAAGTGAAGAGTCAAGCTAATGGTTAGCAGAAAACCAAAGCAAGAACACACTTTAGGCCAGGTGCAGTAGCTCATGCCTGTAATCCCAGCACTTTGGGAGGCTCTGGTGGGTGGATCACCTGAGGTCAGGAGTTCCAGACCAGCCTGGCCATCATGGTGAAACCATGTCTCTACTAAAAATACAAAAATTAGCCGGGCATGGTGGTGCGTGCCTGGAGTCCCAGCTACTCAGGAGGCTGAGGCAGGAGAATTGCTTGAACGCAGGAGGTGGAGGTTGCAGTGAGCTGAGATTGTGCTAACGCATTCCAGCCTGGAAGAGAGAGCAAGACTCCATCTCAAAAAAAAAAAAGGACACTCTTTAATATTTTAGCCTACAAACATTTGTGGATGCTATTCCACTGAGCCCAGCATCTTACTGGGCACCAGAGATATAGACATGAATCAGATGTGGCCTCTGTCCTTGGGGGCACTCACAGACCAGTTAGAGTGTGAGACAAAGACACATATATTATAATACTTCTGCCTAATGGTCCAGTTTAGGAGATGAGAAAGGAGAAAAAAGCCATTCTCAGCCTGGTGAAATCAGGGAAGTCTTCTTGGAAAACACAATTTTGGAATTGAATTTTTTTTTTTTTTTTGAGATGGAGTTTCACTCTGTCACCCAGGCTGCAGTGCAGTGGTACAATCTCGGCTCACTGCCATCTCCACCTCCTAGGTTCAAGCGATTCTCCTGCTTCAGCCTCCTGAGTAGCTGGGATTGCAGGTGCCCACCACCACGCCCAACTAATTTTTGTGTTTTCAGTAGAGATGGGGTTTCACCATGTTGGCCAGGCTGGTCTCAAACTCCTGACCTCAGGTGATCCGCCCGCCTCAGCCTCCCAAAGTGCTGGGATTATAGGTGTGAGCCACTGCACCCGGCCGGGATTGAAATTTGAAGAGGAGTTGAAATATGGCCACGCAGAGCTGGGCAAGAAAGACATTCCAGACAGAGGGACAAAGGCAAGGTAGCAGAAAAGCTTAGGCCTTAGTTGCTGATATCCCTTGTGTCAGAGTGACACACATGTATAGGAGGTAAACTTTCGGTTGAAAGTTAAGATGCCAGGAGACCTGAAGCTGATGGGCTGGCCTTGCTGACACGTATTTTTTCATGCCCATCTAGGTCCTGTCTCTTCCTCACCGTCGACTGGTTTGCTGCTGCCAGCTCTACGAGGTGCCAGATCCAAACCGCCCCCAGAGGCTAGGGTTGCATCAGCGGGAGGTCTTCCTCTTCAATGATCTCCTTGTGGTATGGGCACTGTGGGGGAGGAGATGGGAGGGAGATGGTGAGCTTGATTCCTGAGTCAGATGTGAACCACATTGATGTTGGTGTGTGGAGTGTGGCAGGCATGGTGTTCTGCCATGCCATCTGTGTGGTCTCAGGCAAGACCCAGGCCTTCTCTACCCCTCCTTTTCCTCAAAGATGCATTTGGAGGTAGTAACAGACACACAGGGGCAGAAAATATGAGGACAAAGGGAGATGACAGACTTACAACCTGGGAAATATCCCTGTCTACCTCAGTAGCCCATAGGGTTGAGGAAGGAGGGTGAATCTGCGACCCTTGGGGTCAGTCTGGAAACCTTCAGTAATCAAGATGCTTGAAGTGGGCTGGGTGGTGTGGCTCACGCCTATAGTCCCAGCACTTTGGGAGGCCAACGCAGGTGAATCACTTGAGCCCAGGTGTTAGACCAGCCTGGGCAACATGTCAAAACCCTGTCTCCACGAAAAATACAAAAATTAGCCAGGCGTGGTGGTGCGCGCTTGTAGTCCCAGCTGCTTGGGAGGCTGAGTCGGGAGGATCACTTGAGCCTGGGAGGCAGAGGTTGCAGTGTGCTATGATCGCACCACTGCATTCCAACCTAGGCAACAGAGCCAGACCCTGTCTCAAAATAAAAATAAAAACAAAATTTTAAAAAAATGCTTGGCCCAGGTGCAGTGGCTCACGCCTATAATCCCAGCACTTTGGAAGACCAAGGTAGGTGGATCACCTGAGGTCAGGAGTTTGAGACCAGCCTGGCCAACATGGCAAAACCTGTGTCTAGTGAAAATACAAAAATTAGCTGGGCGTGGTGGTGCACATCTGTAATCCCAGCTACTGTGGAGGCTGAGGCAGGAGAATCACTTTAACCCGGGAGGCAGAGGTTGCAGTGGGCAGAGATCGTGCCGTTGCACTCCAGCCTAGGAGACAAGAGTGAGACTCTGTCTTAAAAAAAAAATGCTTGAAGTGATTCTTAAAACTGAGCTCATTACTAGTAGAGATGTTTGTCTTTTAGGGATGGGACTCTTAGGACTCTGCAGTTTGGAAGGGACTTTCAGGGTCCAACTACCTAGATGGCCCACTGGTTGTATGACTACAGGGACAGAAAGCCGCCTTTGTCTAAGGCAGCTGTGACTGATAGAATCTATCTCCCTGTGGGTTTCTTCCAACCATCTGCACTCCACCCTTGGGATCACGAAGAACAAGTGTTGTCTCTCTGCTCCAAGACAGCTCTCCAGGGATTTGAGGACAGCGGTCCTGTTTCGTCTGTGGTCTTCCCTCCTTTAGAGCAGGGTTTCCTAGTCTCATCACTGTTGACATTCGGGCTGGATGATTCTTTGCAGGGACTGTCCTGTGCACTGTAAGATGTTTAGCAGCATCCTGGTCTCTCCCTGTTAGGTGCCAGTAGCAACCCTGCAACCAAAATTGTCTCCAGTCATTGTTCCATGTCCCCTGGGGGCAATATTGCCTGCAGTTGAGGATTGCTGCTTTTAGCTGAAGTACTTCCATGCTCCTTCTGAGCCTTAGTTTCCTCCTCTGTGAAATGGACCCCTACCTCACAGCGTTGTCAGGAGGATGAAATGAAATAAGAGGTTGTATGTGGAATCGGCCTTACCCCAAGGAGTACCTGGCCCATACAATCAATGTGCAGATATCCCTCAGGTACTCACACTGGTGTGTGTCCAGCTCTATGCGAGGCACTGGGTATGTCAGGATGAATCAGGCTTAGTCCCTGTTCTCAGGAAGCTCACAGCCCAAAGGACCTAAAAAAGTGCTTTGCGTCATTGTTGACTCTAACCACCCTGAAATCAAAACATTTCCTTTTACGAGCCACTTGCAGACCGCCTGAGATATTTGCAGCCTGTGTTAGTTGAGTCCAGAGTGCCTAAGTACTCGACAAAGACATTGGGTTGTTGAGAGGAAGACTTGTTAAGTCTCTACGTAGGTTCGGCAGAGATTGCCGTTAAGTGCAGGCTCTGGTGGGGCTGGGTGACAGAACCCAACAACCAGACGCCTGCCCTCCAGTCCAGCAGGGGGCGATCACACACTCAGAGGACTAGCATAGCGCCTGACAAAGGAAAGGTACTGAATCCCCATTCTGGAGCTCAGAAAAGGGGTTTACAAATCTCTGTGGGATGTTGGAGCTGACTTCCTGGAGGGAGCAGGATTCAGTTAGTTCCTGGAAATGTGGTAAAAAGTGGAGCATAGTCATTACATCAGGAACTTGCGTTTTCTTCAATGTCTCTCATTCTCTCCCTCAAGCTTCCATTCTCCCCAACTTGTGGGTATGTGTGTTTGTGTGTGTATGTCTGTTAATGGGGTGGGAGGGGAGAGTGGTTGCCAGAAATAGGTGCCACATGGAAATTCCCCACCCAAAACCCTGCCTCTTTTCTTTTTCCCACCCCTGCCAAAGGTCACCAAAATTTTCCAGAAGAAGAAGATCTTGGTGACTTACAGCTTCCGTCAGTCTTTCCCACTCGTGGAAATGCACATGCAGCTCTTCCAGAATTCATGTGAGTCCCTTCTTGGATCCTACCTCCTGAGAGTCTCCTTCATTCATACCAGCTCCAGTTTTTGGAGTTCCTTACAACAGGGCTAAGGGTCTCCAAAGCACCTACTTGGTTCCAGGATGAGGGGCAGGCGAGGGTGGAGTATCACTTGGGTCTAGCCCCTGGTAAGCTCATGGTCTTGCAGAGAACCACACTGCATGTGCTCTCTGGTGGGCCAAAGAGATGGTGATCACGCTGTGCTCTGAAGGATGAACCAGGAGGAGCTTTGTTGGGTGGCATTCTGGGAAGCAGAAGCATTGTGAGTTGAGGCAGAGGTGAGGAGGAAAGGGTTTTGAGACACCAATGCAGAATTCCATGAGTTTACATCCTGCAGTACAGGGAGTAAGGGGGCCACAGCTACCAGGGGTTTGGGGGCTTTGGGCAAAGGGGAGCTGCTAAAGATGCTCAAGCAGAGAAGAGGCATGATCAGAGTTAGACAGTACAAAAATTATTTTATGGGCTAGGTGTGGTGGCTCACACCTGTAATCCCAGCACTTTGGGAGGCCGAGGCAGGAGGATCACTTGAGCCCAGGAATTTGAGACCAGCCTGGGCAACATGGTGAGACTCCATCTCTACTGAAAATAAAAAAAATTATCTGCACACATGGTGTGTGCCCATGGTCCCAGCTATTTGGGAGGCTGAGGCAGAAGGATCACTTGAGCCCAGGAGTTCAAGGCTGCAATGAGCCATGATGGCGCCACTGCACTCCAGCCTGGGTGATAGAGAGATGTTGTCTCAGGAAAAAAAAGACCATGTATGAGCCACCTTGCACCAATCCCAACAGAGGTGCCCAGTCTCCCCTTTCTCCACAGATTACCAGTTTGGGATCAAGTTGCTGTCTGCAGTACCTGGCGGGGAGCGAAAAGTCCTCATCATCTTCAACGCCCCCAGCCTCCAGGACCGGCTGCGCTTCACATCCGACCTGCGCGAGTCCATTGCGGAAGTGCAGGAGATGGAGAAATACCGTGTGGAGTGTGAGTAGCCCAGCTACGTCTCCTCCCCGCTCTCCTGAAACAGCACCCTGCAGAAACGAGGAATCCTATCCTCTGAGAATCTCAGAGTTGAGGGTTAGCTTGTCCCACCTTCTTATCCTCATTCCAAGAATTCCTCAGCCTCTGCTTGAATACTTTCAGTGACAAGGGGCTCATTACCTCCCAGCCCCATTAGTATCCCAAACTCTAATTATGAGCCAACTATTCCTTCTAGTGAAAGGTATCAGGGAGAAGAATCAGAGTATTGGAGGTAGGACTATGGTTTTAGATCCCAGGTATGCTACTCATTATCTGGGTGAACTGGAGCAAATTGCCTAACCCACCAAGCCCCAATTTCCCTCCTACACAAAATTGGAGTAACGAAATCTCCTTCACAGAGTCATGGAGATGAAATGAGACAAGGTAGCCGAAATGTCCCAACACATCTTAGGTGTTCAAAAAATCTGTATTCCCTTTTCCACCCTCTCTCCTCCTCTGCCCACATATCAATTCCTGAGCTGAGTCTCACTGGCCTATCCTCTCAAACCCCAGGGGCCACACCAAGTCATTTTGATTATATACATATATATATACACACACACACACACACACACACATATACACATATATATATACATATACATATATGTATGTATATATATATATACATACATATATGTATATATATATATATAAAATGGAAAATAGTGATTACATCTCATTCCTCCCAATGCCCTCCAAGTTTTCTCTTCTCCAGGCTAAGCAGTCACAGTTAAGTAACATGGTGTTAAGGAGAAAGAGGCAGGCAGACAGAAAGAGAGAGACGAGGCGGCGGACAGCTCCTTGGTGAGGCCTTCACAGCTCCAGGGCCATTCTACTCCTCAGCGAGGCAGGGACAGAAATTTCAGTTCACCAGATCCTTTGAGACGCTGGGGAAATCCTGAGAGAGGGATTAGCAGCCCAAGACGAGAGGAGGCCAGTAGACACGTGTTTCTGTGAGCTCTGTGGGGAGGTGGGGCTGTAAGGAAGCCAGAAGCACCCAAGCTCTGGAATCAGGCAGACCTGCTTCCAGAATGTCAGCTCCGCCATTTCCAGCTGTATGACCCTGGGCAAGCTGTAAGACTTCTCGGATTCTCAGTTTCTTCCTCTGCACAATGTGGATGCTAATACTGACTTCTGAACTGTTGTGAGGATTGAGAGAGATCAAGTGTGTGTAGCGCCCAGCATACTGCCTGGCACGTGATAGAGAATTTGATTCCTGTCAGTTTCCTGCTCCTGCCCTTCCAGGAGCCCTTCTACTCTGGAGCGAGGTATCTGAGAACTGAGCAAACTCTGGAAAGATTGCCCTTTGCCATAGGCTAGAAGGGCCTTCCCGTCCTTACTGTGAACCATCTGCCATGAAGCTCTATTTTGAAGGGCAGGGGTGCTTTGGAAGACCTGACTGCAAGAGGGCATGAGAGGGAAGTCAGAAGGGTGAGAGGAAGGGAGAGGGAACAGGGAGAGCAGGCACCAAGAGGAGTGAAGGGAAGGCTGAGCAGGAAGGGAGGGTGCAAGATGGGAGCTGGGAACTGAGGGTGCTTCCGCGACGGAGCTGCAGTTTGGGGGGAGACAAGTGCTAGCCGTCCAAGGGGCAAACCAGGAAGCCTGGGGACAGAGGGAGGGAGGAGGAACGCGGAAGGAGGGCTAGGGTCAGTCAGATGGGCTCTCACTCCTGTTCCTGACCTTTGCTCCCTGTCTTCCCGACTGTCACCCAGCGGAGCTGGAGAAGCAGAAAGGTATGATGCGGCCTAATGCCTCACAGCCCGGAGGGGCCAAGGACTCAGTGAATGGGACGATGGCCCGCAGTAGCCTGGAGGACACTTACGGGGCAGGCGATGGGCTCAAACGGGGCGCACTCAGCAGTTCCCTGCGAGACCTCTCTGATGCAGGTAAGCCCTCTGGGCCCCTGCCCTGGCTGGGGAGACATGGAACCGGGTGTCCTCTTTGCCTCCTGTCACTGGCTGCCAGCCTTCCCTCCACCTGCCACACAGGCACGCACCCTGCCTTCACCCAGAGCCCTGGGCGCTGTGCCACAGGGGGCCTGGGAGCCAGGTCAGAGCAGGGGGAGCCCAGCGTTTGGGCCAGGGAGTGTGAAGTGGGGCCACAGTCTTGGTCCCTCTCTGGCTGCTCCACCTCTCCTCCTCTTCTCCCTCTTCTGTCTCTCCTATACTGCCTCTCCTCCTTCTCCATCTTTTCCTCCTCTCTCTCCTCTTTCTCTACCTCTCCTCCTCCCACCTCCCCCTCTTCAATGGGGGAAAGGGATAATGGGGTGTCTGTCCCCTGGAGGGGCCCAGGCCTGGTGCCCAGCTCTGGAGCCCAGCAGGGTAGGGAGGGGGGGTTGCTGCTCTGACGCTGGGCTCCTTGCTTGTGGGTGCAGGGAAGCGGGGGCGGCGTAACAGCGTGGGATCGCTGGACAGCACCATCGAAGTAAGTGCCAGCTCCTGCCCCACTCGTCCTCTGCATGAGCCCTGCCCCGGCCATGGAGCCCCAGAGGAGGAGGGGACCTGTTGCTCCCCACTCTTCCCTGCTGGGAACTGTGCAGTTGCCTTCCCCCAGCCAACCACTCTCTCCATCTGTCCTCAACTCTGTCTGTCCTCATTCTGCCTGTCTCTCAGTCTGTCTTCCACTCTCCCGTGCCCCCTCTCAACCCCAGGGCCAACGGCGCGTAGGGATGCCCTTGGAGTTGGGCCACGAGAAGCTCTTACCTCCAAGTCCTACTCTTAGACCCTGGGCGAGTCACTCTGCCTCTCCAGGCTTAACCTTTTCCCCGCCTGCAAAATGGGGATGAGGAGGAGGTGCCGCTAATTCCTCCTCTCCCAGCTGAGGCTCAGCTGAGATGTGGATGTGACAGTCGAGCTTTGCAAGCTGGGGAGCTCCACATACGCGTACAGGACCGTGATTTGGTTTTTGTTACAACTTGGGGTTCGCTGTCTCCCCAGCTTCAGCCCTCAGGGATAGGGGTGGAATTTAGGGCTGAGGGTTTAGGGCGTCTAGCCTGGCCTGACTTCCCCCTCCCCACTTCCAGGGGTCTGTTATTAGCAGTCCACGCCCTCACCAGAGGATGCCACCTCCGCCCCCA